TTTACGTCCACTGTGAGCGACCATCTTTGAACAGAGGCGGTGGTTTACGACACCAACTGTCTGCCATCTATAATCCAGTTTTGAGATCCCTTCCCAGACGCCTTAACGCCCACTCACATCCTGGGCCATCTGACCTCAGGAAATCACATGATGGGGTGGGGCCAGGTTTCACAATGAGCTTACCCGAAACCCTGGCTGATTGTGACCCACACCCGCTTACACATCTTGGCTCATGTGATTAGGTAGAGGATCATCAGGGGGTCCTTTGTCCCTCTTTGGGGGGAAACTCCCACTGGGTTTAAATCTGGGACTCTCCACCATTTGACCCTTAGAACTGAAGAAGCTTCTCGGATGAGAGGTGAAACGTCTTCAAGCAACTCAAAGAAGTCCAGACGCTTTTCTTTCCATGGTCCTTAGACTACGATGACCTGGATGACTGAGAACCTTCACAGACAACAAAATAGGTAAATAGGTAATAGGTAAGTATATAAATGTGAAATAATTAATAAGCAACCCAAAGATGTGCAAAACAGTTCAGCTTTGCGTTCTTTAAATCAACTAAATCAGCAAAATTCAACTTACACATAAACGCACTAGTTGTAAAAATATGAGTATTTTTTAGTAAGATTCTTTTAATAAAAGCAGCATAAATTTTTACATTTAGCTCTTTAATTGAGCAATGTACACCATGGTAATGTGGTCAATATCGACAGGAGGAGTAGAAGTATTAATGAAAAATTAATTCTTCACATTGGAAGTGGTTGAGGAACACCCTGTTCAACTTGCCTGTTTTATTAAACTGAGGTTGCCAACATCAAGGCTTTCGTAGCTAATGTGCTAAAATTAGTTTGTTAGCAAGTTCTCACAAACTTCTTCAGACTACCCGACTCCTCCTCTGCATCATCGTATGTCAGCCTGTGGTTAGAAAACAAAAACTAAGGATTCCAGAGTTTCCCGGCACATCAGGTCAGGAGTGGAACCAGGATGTGTTCCTTGTTTTAACATTCACATCATGAGTTGTTCTCCAGGGTCAGACTGTCAGTGGAGATGTAATCTGTGAGAACTTTCAGTCAGAAATGACCTAAAATGCTGTGAGTGCCAACACGCCTGCACACAGTGCATTAACAAGTACTGTGAAAAAGTCCTTTTCCTCTTCCTGACTTCTTTTCTTACATTTTTGTCACATATAAGTTTCAGATCTTCAAACAAATTTTGAATTAACAAATTAATCCACTAAAAATACAAAGGTTCAGTTTTTGGAAGCCACTATATTCCCCATCATATTTACAGTGTCCTGGGAAAAATATCCCTTTTCTGACTAATTGTGTTTTATGCATGTGGCTAGGCAGAGGAAGGCTTCTTGGGGGGTATTTCAGTTTGTATCTGCACCATCAGCCTCATGATAAAAAGGTCAGGACCCAGGTCAGATTGACTACTTTTTCCTTTCAAATATTTATCTATTGTTATTACGTGCTGCATTGTCTCACTCACAGCATGACTATTATGTAATTTCTTCTGTTTTACTGGCAGTTTGCAACCAATTTAATTAGAGCAGGTAGTTCTGCCCTCTAGTGAAAGAGAATGTAATTTTCTGCCTGTTACTCACGCTGATCGCTTAGAGTACCAGGTGGAACCAGATAATCTTCCACGGGACAACTGATCATTTCTCACGGCACACCTATATGTGCCGCAGCACAGTGGTTGGAATGCACTGGATTAGAAATGCAACCCTCCTGTCTCCAGACAGCTGACAGCTAAACAGCAACAGCTGTTTTAAGCTAGCATGTTAGCTAATGTTAGGCTTGAGTATCCTACAAATCTGTCTTTCTCTCTGATATAGTTTAATTACAGTCTCACACCATGTGAGAGTTTATTCACTAATCATCACAGTCCAAACACTTCAAAGAATGTTTTAATAACAGCAGCTACCAACAGCCAGCTAACAGCAGCTAACAAAGGTTAGAAGCAGCAAAAACAACAGTTTTACCAAAGCAAAAGTTCAAGGTATCCTCAACAACGCAACTCATTATTGCTGCCATGACTAGATTATCCATTGCCTGATGAGTTTAAAAACCTTTACTTCTGGAAATCAGCCAAAATTAATTAAATGTTGTATTAGTCAGTAGATGCGCATACACTATTAAAAAGGTCAACATAATCATTTAACAGGGCCTGTGGGGTTTTAAAAGGTTTTTTGATCATTGCAAAAGGAATGTACATTTTCCAGTTCAAAAGCAGAGACGTCCACACATTTCTCACAAAGTCTGTTGTAAACCCACACAAACCATTCATTCATTCAACTCAAAGCGTGCTCAGGCAGCTCTCTAATCAAAACAAATCTTAAGAGAGTGATGCAGAGTGAGACAGAAAGAGTGTGAGGGGCCCTAAATGTGTTGTCAATTAGCTGCAGCAGATCAATAGTATGGAGTGAAAGAAGCAGAAACAGGAGAGATCCTAAGCAAATCAAACAGGTCTGTTGCTTTTATAAGGCCCGTGATGTGAGAACTGGAACTACATTTTTTATTGTGATTTTCTTTAAGGCTCTTCACAGACTCAGTCAAAAAATAGGTTTATGGAAACAATGAATTGGATTGTGGTGCAAAAAGGCCTTCAGTTCGCTCGTTGCCACATTGTCCCAGATGCTTCCTTTCTCTTCTACTTCCATCCCTTCCTTTGTAACTGCTTTCATTCTAGCCACCATCCACTCCTATATTATGTGTGTAATTCATTGCATCCTACATTAAAATGCCCAAACATGCCAGCTTGGATGCGAATTTTGGTAAAACAAAAAAAAAAACAAACAAAAAAAAGATGGATGCATACAATAATATAATGTTAAAATGCACAATGGCCTACGCCAATTTTAAGTAAACAAGCTGTGTCTTGAGTAGTATGCAAACTGTCCCCACTGTAAGGATGTTTAGTTTTAACAGTGATTTTTAAAATATTTGAAATATTGTTTCTTTACTCTTTGATTAACCAGAAAGGCTCAAACTGGTCACAAACTAAAAAGGAAATAAATCACTGGTTATGCTCTGTAACTTTAAGCAAAGATTAGGGAGGAAAGAATGAAATAAAGTAGTCAAATTTAACATTAAGAAGGTTTAGACAATTTTGAACGTGGAAGCTGCTAAGCTTACCTTACTGTAAATGCAAAAGGTCTTTATTTCAGTTTTTCTCTTCTCTTCTTACAGTCTGGTGGACACCGATGGAAATAATCACTCCCAACAGACTCAACTGCCATGAATATAACTGTATGTGTCAGGGAAAATGGGCTGTTTTAACATCACATTATTGTACTGTAAATGTCTATGATTGTGCATGTGTTTGAGACCTGGATACCAAGACTGCAGCTGCCATTACTCCCCTAATTATTCCTATAGTCAACCAGGCTTCTTCACAGTGTAACACAGTAAAGTTTGATCAGGATCCAGATGGAAGAGGAGAGAAATAAATTGTGTCTGACAGCCGCTCGACTGAAATTATGTTAGAAAGCGTGAATGAAAAAAGAAATTTGGACAGAGACAAAGACGGACGTGGATGTAGGAACATACCACCTGGACAAGCGATCAACTGACACATAATTAGGAAGATAAAGACTAAGGCAGTAGATACAGTCCAACCACAACACTCATCGGGTGACATTCAGAAGTGTTTTTGTGTTCAAGTTTCCAGATGTATCAGTTAAGAAACACACCTGATAAAAACCTAATCCTGTGATGTGAGCCAAAGTCAAATGTGAGTAATTTGTTCTTAACAAATCAAAGCCTGTGAGGTGTGACATTTTGATATTTTTTGGCATACATTTATTTGACTTTGGGTTCAACTCTCCATAAATTTTTACTAGTGAAGCCTTTCGCTTTCCTTATCTTTTTCTCTCTCTCTCTTTCAAACTTGGTAAAACCAAATTATTTTTTTATCAATTTCTCAAGCACAGTCTGACCTTAATCAGTGGATTTATTTTTTTTATATCTATGTATATCAAAAAGTCAGGTTTCTGTATGTACAGTTATATATGACCATCAGTCTTCACTGCTGATGATACTGACAATAAAACGATCCATCCATTTTACCTCACTGTTAATTTAAA